ATCACAATATTTACCCAGCTTATCTTTAGGTGTAATGTACCCTTCAATGATTTCTTAAAGGGATTAGGTAGTGTACTCCATCTTAAATAACTTACATTTGGCTTTCACAGTGGCATCCATTGGTTTAAGAATTTAGGACTCTAAACCAAGAGATGCTTTGTCTATAAGGGCAGCTTGCACCACTAAACACACAACCTCTGGGCCAAGTCCACAGTCCAACCTTAACCTAAGAGCTGTGCTGCATCAGACAAGGAACCAAGACCTTCCTGGCAACCATTTTAGGTAAAGTCCTTTGATAAGCACTAAAAACCATTCTCTGGGGGAGACATTGCTCTGGAGTCTTCCTGTTGAGCACTAATGGTCCTGTATACCAGCTGGGTGGGAACAGCCATGAATGGGGCTGATGTGGCTTCATAAGCAGCAAGCAGACTGTGTCATAGTTTCTGTCATAGTTTCTTGGCTTTAAGGCAGAGGGTATCTGGAGTTGGGTTCCAGTGGAGTTTTTCTCAGAGTCTACATTAGTCAGATTTTTGTTGCTGAGACCACATACCAAACACTCACAATTTAAAGGAGAAGATATCTAATTTGGCTTGTGATTTCAGAGGATTCAGTCTATGGCTGCATAGTTCCAAGGAAGGAACTTCATGGCAGAAAGGCATGGTAGAGCAAACCTTCTAAGTTCATGGCAGCTGGGAAGCAGAGCAAGGCAACAATGCCAAAGAAGGGATGAGGAACCAGATATAGACACCAAGGTTATGCCTCCATGATCCACTCAGACATACCCAGAAGTGTGCTTTATTAATCTTCTGAGCCACTCCCAAGCCAACCAAGTTGACAGCCCACCTTCATCATCACAAATTCCCTCCCACTGTCATGAACTGTCCCTTGGCACAACACTCCAATAAAAAGCATTGTATGTGTGTGAAGATTAATCATAACTTTCCGTTTTGTATTTATTCATGTTATTTACTATCTGTGGTCACTTAGCAGTCTTAGGGAACAAATAATTCATAGTAACTGAAAAAGAGGAAGTCCATAGAGTTGTATCAGCAGATGGTTTTATTCTCCTTTGTGTACTCAACCTTTTGAGCTAACTAGGGCTAGATTCATTTTCCTCTCTTCTGATGATAATGTTTTTATCCAGGTGATGAACTGCTTCATCCATCCAAGGAGTCTGAGGCTTTGGAGATGGATTCTTTCACCCAACCTTTTTTCAACCAACTTTTCCAGGGGACTCTGGAAATTATGTCAAGTTGGACCCTACATTCACTTTATGGATCTCATCTCATTGCTCCTGAGCCAAAAGAGAAAACTTAGACTAAGGTGTAGAGTGAAGTGAAGACTTCCCAGCAGAGTTAAGCCCAACTTGACACCCTACACTCCCCTAAGGAACTCTGATGCCAAGTGTACTTGCTAGTAGTGCTTGTGAGTCTAGGTATCTAGTTGAGCCTAAAGACGAAGATATCCCTGGCTGCAGCATCCACCTGGTTCTTTCTCTCTAGAAAGCCACTGGATATTTTTCCATTCACTTGTGCAGTGCTATATGTTTTTGCTCTAGTGATCAGAATACTACAGAGGAGGAGTAATACTTACATTTCACCTTTAAAACCACTATATTAATCACTAATCATGATCACCATCATCAAAGTCCACCATTTGCAGCCACCATTAGAATCCACTTGTGGATTCCAACCACTGCCCATCACCTTCCACTCCCTTCTTAGACCACATAGAGCCTTTCTGTTTCATCTCCCAGCGTTTTCTCTGGATAGCCTCTCCTAGGAAAGCACTGAACTGAGACTTGTAATATGCTGCCCAAAACAGCCTAAGATAAATCCTTCACTCTCAACTTTTCATGATCTGAAAAATGGGAAGAATAATCCTTGCCCCCAAGGACATGTTCTAAAATGGAATTAACTCCAATTGTAACTGATAAAATGATAGACCAGACTGAAAATTTTAAGGTTAGTCTACATATCAATCTATCTGATCACTTTTGGAGGTAGTACCAAAACCCAGTAGGGTCCCTATTTGTTACCCTCCCATCCAATGTCTGCCTCCAGGTTGTCACTGTATTGCCCAAGAGAATGAACAGATGGTGGCATGGCCTTTCACCCTGGGATATTGTGTTTGCCTAAAATCAAAGAAGAAAGGAAAAATAAAGTGAAAGCTCTCCATATTTAGCCCACGCTTCTCTCAGAAACTAAAGGACTGACTGCCACATGTGTATAAGAAGAGAAAGAACAGAGAGATCAAAGTGGGTTGAGGAAGGCAGGCAGGAAGAAAGTAGCCAAGAAAGATACAGAGGAGGAGGTGGTGGCATGGAGGTCTGCTCAGAGAGACGCACTAGGAGCAGGAGATGCCAGAATTTCATACAGCCCAGAGCAGGAATGTGAACTAGCTCAGAGCCACAGGGAACTAGCCTGTTCATGAGGTGTCTTACTCACTTTTCATGGTGCTGGGGAGGAAAGGGTTACTTTGGCTCACATTTTAATCCATAGTTGGCTGGCTCCAAGGCAGGAAGGCATGGTGGGAAGGCCTGGGCAGAGGAAAGTAGCTCACCCCATGACAGCCAGGAAGCAGAGAGTGAAGGGAGGAGTGGAGAAGGAAAATACACCCTTCCAGGTCACATCCCAGTGATCCACCTCTTCTGGCCAGGCCCAACTTCCCCAAGCCCCACCTGTGAATGCATGAGGCTCTTGAGGGATATCTCAGATCTAAACCATAATATAAAATTTCACCCAGACGTAGGCTCAGGTGCACTTGAAGTCACAGGTGACATTTGCAAATATCCCATAAGTGATGCCATGTGACTCCCACTGTCTGATGCAAGAGGGCAAATGAAAGGATTGGAGTGTAAGTTGAGAAATATTGCTTCTAAATGGAGCCAAGTACCTTCAGCAGACCAAGGCCCCATTCAGCCTCAAACTGAGGAGGATGTACTGGCTGACTGCATGGTCTATTTTATATTCAACTGAGTTCTCAAATCTGTGGGGCCATTAGTAGTAGACTGTATTTATGCTCCTTTCTCTTGCCCACACTTTTGTCAGGGAAGGAGACATATTTTGTCCCCACCCCACTCCCTATGGATGTTGGACTTACTGGTGAATTGCACTGGCCAATAGACAGCAGAAGGGACGTGTGCCAGTTCTGAGGAGAAGTTTGAGAAGCACTGCAAGCTTCATCCAACCACCTTGTGCACCTGTGCTCTGTGAGGAAAAGAGCACACCCTAGCAGCCCTGCTGCTTCAGCCTGAGTCACAGCAGGAGACAATGGGACCAAGTTCAAAATGAATGCACAGTCAAAACCTAAACCCAGCCCAGTCCATCCCAGCTATCTTGCAAACTCATAAATGGGAAATAAATGTTTGTTGTAAGGGACTGTGGTTTTTGGAACTCTTTGTTACTGCAGCCAAAGCTGACTAATGCACTGTGTGACAAGAAAGTCATAGAGGTAAATCACAGGGAATGATCTAGCCTGCCTGAAGGAGAATGGAGGGCATCTGGAAGGTCCTCCACAGGAAGTCTTCCATGCCAGAGCTGCTGTAATCTTCCATATGGAGGCACACCTGGCTTTTGGCATCAACAATCCAGGCCTCAGCTGGGGTAGGAAGGAAGTTTGGTGGGACAGGAAAGTAGGTTATAATGAATCAAAGTCAAAGTTTTCCCTACTCACAGTCCTCTCTTTTCTACAGTGTTCCACACCTAAGCTGTATATTTTCTCACTGCTTAGGTGCTGTAATTAAAAGGCTCTTGAACTCAAGATTGGTATATTGGTTTAGGTAGCATAGAGAGGCAAAAAGATGGCTTAGATGAATATACAAGTTCTAGCACTACTGGTCTATGACTGCTGTGATCAGTATGCAAATCTTCAGGTCTTTCTGATTCCTAATATTAAAGGACACCAAGGAAATTCACATCAATATCATACCAGCAAAATTCTAGCTAATAGATGTTTTCCTGCCAAACAGAGCACTGTAGCAAATTTTATGCAACACACACACTACTGCTCAGGGAAGACAGCTATGGAATTCTAATCCTCCAATTACTGTGGCTTATGGGATACCCTGAGGATCCAGGTTAGCCAGTGCTTATGCTGATGTTTATATATTTACACACCATAAACAATGAATGTTGCTAACCTTCATTTCACTCAGAAACCAGAAAATTCCCTACCTTCTCAGTTGCTTGGACCAAGCCTTTGGAGTCAATAGCCATAATCATCTGTTGGAATAAAAAGGACCCAGCCCTCTGCCAACCATGGTAGAAGGCAGGAGGAACATAACTTTGGGGGATAGGGTAAGGAAAGAAGCAGGAACAAAAGCAAAACATCCCCAATTTTTCTAAAACACGATAGCCTTTACACAAACTCTTACCTGGAATGGAAATATATGTAACTAGACAAAAGCACAGAAGTTGGGAGTGAAGCAGGGGTAAGGATTCCGAACCTGTCTGTGCAGCCTTCTGTTTCCCACTCCCAAAGGTGCCTCCTGGAGCTATGTGTAGAACACAGTTTGAAAATCCCTGAGCTAGAGAAATTTGGATCATTGAATATACTTACAGGAATAAAAGGTGAGAAGTATCATGACACCATCATAGCTGTTTCTGGGTACTCCGCTGGGAATAGAATGGAATTAACTGTACAGACATACCTTGTCATGGATTGGCGGCCACAGAGCACATGAGAAAAGATGCCTTCCACATCCTGATGGACTGCCTGACTAACCTTTCTCACATCTTAGAAGTAAGCCTTCTTATCCTCATCTTCATTTGGGCAAAGTAGATCTCCCTAGGAACAATTTAGAGCCTCTCCCTTTGACCCGTATCCTCTACCTATCCATCCAGTTCTCCTACCTAAGCTGTCTCCTGTCCTGAGCTTCCAGGTCTCAAGCTTGGTGCCATGCTTGCTTTGGCCTCCCAGAGAAAGGGATCCTGAGAGATGCACCTATCTCGTCAGCATGTAGCTGCCCACTTCCCATGGAGACAAGCCTCCCGACCCACCTACGCACACCACGTCCATGAAGCCATACATCCCGTAGCAGATCTGGAAGAGGAGGTCTTGGCGCTGCCATTTTGCTGAGGGACTGAAGGTTGACCAGATGAGCCAAGAGATACTGGCGATGAGGAAGAGGGAACCCAAGATGGCAGCTGCAATCTGAACCTTCTCGATGACTGTCAGAGAGATGGCCTGCCACTGGAGAAGAGAGAGTGGCAGGTTAGCTGTTGCTTAAATGCCCTCAACCCCTTCCCTTCCCTCTTCTGCTGCCCCAACAAGTCCCCTTGAAATCACATTTAAAGCAGGGCACCCCAACTTGTAGTATAGTGGACATTTTTGTAGTTTCACATTGTATTTTTAAATCAGAGGAAGCCTATATCACACGGAATGATCAGAGATCATTGTAAGGAAAGGTTCCAGCTAGGCATGGCTGAGAAAGAGATCCTTTTACTTGATTATGAAACACAGAGAAATCAGAAGCATAAAGAGAAAACAAACAGCTTGTGTGGGTAGTGTGTTCCAGGGACCTAGAATATTCTTTTCAGAACAACACAGTCTATTTTCTCACTAATAGGTGCTGAGAGGGCACAGGTCTTCCTTTTGCCTGTTTTATTTTGTTTCTACAATAACAATACTTCACATGCCATTTAATATGCATGCCAGAGATTACCAATTCAACAGACAAGGAGAGGGACGCAGGATGTGGGAGAGAGATAAGGAAAACAATTTCTAATTTACTGAGTGTATATTAACATGGGTATTTCTTTTCTTTTAAACAGAAAAGGCATTGTATTTAACAGCAGTATTGATGGAAAGATTTAAGGCTAGAGTGTGGGTTTCAGCTGTGGAATTTAGTGGTACTATACCTAGTCCGGGCAGTACTGGCCTAAATAGGTCAGGAGTTGGATTTTTAGTACAGAGTTTATTCATGCAGTCATTCAACAAATAGGTATTGAGTATTCTATGAGCCTGGACAGTGTGATAGTGATAGATATAAGCACTAGGCAAAACCAGACAAAGTCCCCACCTTTGTGAAGCTTGTAGCCTCAGGACTACAGACAACTCTGTGAATTTTCTACTGCAATCTAACAGGGGTTAGACAGGGAGGCACATGGTAAAAGCCTGTGAGAGGGCAATGTGGCTTCCAATAGGAGGTGATCCTTGAGTTGAGTAGGAGTTTACTAAGCAAAAAGAAGAGGGAAGAGCACCCCAGGCAGAGAAAAGAGCATGCGCAAAGGCCCCCTGTCAGAAGAAAGCATGTTGAGTCTGTCTGAAGACCTAGAAAGGGACCAGAGTGGGTGGAGGCGAGTGAACAAAAGGGTGTGTGGGGCGGGACAGCTGGAGAAGTGAGAAGGGAGATGATGCAGCGTCTTGTCCTAAGAGTAACTGCGGAGATAGGAGTGGCTTTAAGCAGGGATTTGGGAAGGTAGAGGGAAGGACATCTTCTGATTTGGATGATAGGAACACCCCCAGGAAGCATTTCAACCTGACAACTTTCCATTAAGGAACCCCACTCTGTTTTAGTGGCCTAGAAGCAGCTGGGACCAGCCAGTGACCTCCAAGGAATCATAATCATTGGAAAACATTTCACCTGCCAATCCAGATATAGGACACTGGCCTTGACATTTAATTACACAGATAGCATCGCGTTACAGGGAATTGGGCCTTTACATTTTCCAATGCTTCCCCCAGTCTAGGGTTACATATAACAAAGGAATTTTCCAGAAGATGGTCCGGTCGTGCAGACTTAATGCTGTTTCCAAGGCTTGCCCCACTGCCTGGAAGGACGGCTCTTGATACCATTGAAATATCAAGAATGCTCACCTTCTCCTCCTCCTCCAGACTTCAAGAACCCCAAAATTAGTGCTACAGAAAAGCCCTCTTCATCTTTTCTATCAGCCCCAAGTCATCTGCAGAGCCGCTAGTGTCCCTGACCACTGTGTGAAGCGTGGTGAGGAAAGGAGAGCACGGAGTGCTGTGGACAAGAACTCTCCTGTTCATCCATGTGAGGCTCCACAGAGGTGTGGGGAAGACACTGTAGGGGGAAAGCAGAGAATGAGAGAGCTCTGATCTCACAGGAAGGCCGGGAGGAGAAAACGGTGTCTGTAGGCCAGTTCTGCTGCCATTGGACACCTGGAACTTTGGGACCTGCTTCCAAGTGAGATTCTGACCTCACTACTGTGAGACTGCTACACACCCTGAACTCCTATCTGCAGCACTGGTGAATGGAGAGACAAAGGGGAAGAACACGAAGACTGGATGCTTCATTCCTTATACCAGGAAGGGGTACCCCACAAGGGGGTCATGTGACCCAATATGCTGAGTGTGAGTGAAGAGAATTCAATAAATCATGAAGACTGTCACTTTTCCCTTCTGTAATAAAGGAAATATTTGGTTCTTCCTATTTCCTAGAATATTATGAAGGTTAAATAAAATAACTGTCAAGCCAGTGCTTGAAGGGTATTCTTTACAGTGTTTCAGCAAAAATAAGGATAAGCTCGTCAGGGTGGGAGTAATCCTAAATGCGCCTGGGCATTATGAGGTAGAGGTTCCGAGCCCAGACCCATGAGTCAGAGTACCTGTTGCAGGCAGCAACCTTTACTCTACCACTTCACAGCTATCTAATTTTGGACAAATCATAGAGCCCTCTGTGCTTCTACAGTCATCCGTAAATTGGAAATAATAATAATAGTACTCACTTCATTAGGTTTTCTTTAGGATTAAATTAAATAATATATATGTATATTTAGAACACTGGCTTATACCTAATAAGTACTGACTAAATATAAATTAATACAATACAGTTCCTCCTTGTCCAAGGGGAATTGATTCCAAGACCCCCAGTGGCTCCCTAAAACTGTGGGTAGTACTGAATCCTATTTACAAGTACTATGTGAAACGTGAAAACAGTTGATCTAATAAGAGACAGTTACTGAGTGACTAAAAGGCAGGTTACATATACATCACGGATACACCGGGTAGAGGGATGATTCATGTCCCAGGCAGGATGGAGCAAGAAAGTGTGAGATTTTATTATGCTACTCAGAACAGATGCAATTTAAAACTTATGAGTTGTTTATTTTTGGAATTTTTCACTTAATGTTTTTGGACTGCAGTTGACCATGGTTAAATGGCACTATGGAAAGGGAAACCATGTATAAAGGGGTATATAAAAAGATAAATAAATAAAGGAGTATATCAGAATTGTAGTTCAGACGTAGTGGAAGATAAGCAACCATGAAGCCTTGAGATCCACAAGGCTGTGCTGTGACTCTCTCCTCAGAGGTTCTTTGGACTAGAAACATTGCTTGCAAAGGGTCTTTCCAATGATGGCCCATCGTGAATAGTTGTGCTATGTCTCACAACTTTGTATAGTACATGAATCGGGAGGAGAGAGACCCAAGAGACCAGAAAGAACCTCCTCCCTCTGATAGCAGATCCCTACCCATCGCTCTGCTTGCTCGTGCTCAGGCACTGTGGTGAGGCTGCCCACCGTGCTGAGCAGGAAGCTGTCTCATACTTGCTAGGTCTGAGGAATCCAGGACACACAACTGGGGCATTTTGGGCCACAGATACACAACACAGCTTCTAGCCAAACTTCCAGTGCTATCTGGAAAAGTGGAAAGGCATTTACTGAATATACACCATTGCTTTTTGAGGACCGAGAGAATCAGAGAGATCCCCAGTGTCACGATTGCATAGTAATAAGTTAAGGATAGATTAATAGATCAATATTGCCAGCACTGCCATTTGCTTATCTGATTTATAAGATTAGAATAAACTTTTCTTTTACCCTTGGGAAAAAGTTATTCCCGAAAATTTTTTCTTTATATGAGCCAAGGTGGAGCCAGGAGGGGGGAACCTTGCAACAAGCTTATGGATTTAGGATCTGACCTTTCTTGAGGCTTCAGCCAGTTGAAGGGGAAGGGGAAAGTTAATGCACTCAGACCTCCAACGGCACTCAGAGGACGTGGAATCCACTGTCTCCTGACACTGCTATTTTAAGACACTTCAAGATTTTGAAACAAATGGCTGCAGATGGAAGCAGCAGCAGGGAGAGGTCCCTCCGATGTGGACCCCTCACCATAAGGATGATGAGGTGCCTGGGACTTCAGTGCCCTTCCAGAAATGTCCCCAGCCCAGCCCACATGTGCATGGACAGACATTCCCATTTCTGGCAATGCCCCATGGGAAACTCCACAGGGTCTAAAATAAAACACTGGGGACACTAACTCCGGATGTTTCCAGCTGCCCTCCATGCAAAGACCCCACCACCAACCCCAGTGCCCTGGACTTGCAGGGCTGATTCTCCCCCTCCCCTTAGGAGAGGAAGGGAATGGTGCCAGGCAGCTGGAGTCCTACCCTCACTGTCGCTGGCTAATTGATTATGTGGCAGCTTAATTGGCCGATCATGCATACAGAGAGGTATTTTCAGAAGCAAAATGCTCTGTATGTGTGTATGCACCTCACATGGAGAGCTGCGTGACTTGGGGACCTGGCAGCTCCTTGGGGAAGGCTGATGTGTCAAAGAAGGGTGGGAAGGGAGAGTGCGGGCTCAGGGAGCTCTATGTTCTGAAGGAATCTGTTTTTCAGACCCCCACCCCAGCTCTGCCCCAATCCCTCACCCTAATCTCCTCCTACTCTGTCCCCTTCTCTTTCTCCCATCCAAGTACTAACCGGGCCTAACCTTGCTTAGCTTCCAGACGAGATCGGGCCGTTCAGGGTGATATGGCCCTAGACCCCTTCTCTTTCTTACAGCCCCTCTTCCTCCTTTTTCTCTGCCTCCCTCTCCTGCCTCTTCTCCATTTATCTCTCTGACCCCTGCAGAAGTGTAGCTTGTGCACCGGCAACACTGATATCACCCATTGTTTGTTAGAAATGCAGGCTCGTAATGTGGGTATGATAGCGAATGCCCCTAATCCCAATAATCCTAGTGAGGATGAGGCAGGAAGATTGCTGCAAGTGCAAGGCCGACCTGGGCTACAGAGTGAATTCAAGCCAACCTGAGCTACGTAGGGTGAAGGGCAAGGGGAGATACAGACTCGCAGCCCCTTCCCAAACCCACTGAACCTTAGTCTGCATTTTGACAAGCCCCGGGTGAATTTCGTGCACGTAAAAGTTTGGAAAGTGCTGTTGCTCCTTCTTGCCTGTATTTCTCTGTTCCAGCTCTTGGCTTTAACTCAGTCCTTCTCACCCTCTGCACACCATCTTTTTCACTATTTCTGCTCTCTCCTGCCCATTGGTCTTTCCTTTATTTTCCTCCTTTACTTTTTCCTTTTCTTTCCCTCCCTCTTTTTTCCCTTCCTCTCTCCCTTTCCTTCTTCCCTTCCTTCATCCTTTCTCTCACTCTTCCCTCTGGTTCTCCACACTTTCCCCCTCTTAGATCTACTTCTCTCACTTTGGCCCATCCCTCCTGTTCTTGCTGGGGCTTAAGAGAAAGCAAATTCTTCACACCTCCTGCCCACCCGCCACTCCTGGGCTCCAAGCGGCTCTGAATTCTCCAGCCGCAGGCGGCGTGGGAGCCCCAGGCCCAGCGCCCTCGGCGGGCAGCCCCCGCGTTCACCTGCAGAGGATTCTTTGTGCTTATGGCGATGACGTGGTACTTGTAGTAGCACAGCTCGCAGCTCCAGCAGCCACGCTCGCTGATCCACTTGATGAGGCAAGGCTGATGCGTGCACTTGACCGAGCCGTCGCAGCGGCAGGGGCTCAGCAGCTCCCCCTGCAGGAAGAGAGGCAGAGAGCGGTGAGGCCGGAGGGTCAGACTCTTGCGGGGTGGGTCGAGGCTGGAGCCCTGGTTTGAGCCATGCCCTGAGGCCAGATCACTACCACAACCAGAGAGAGATTTTGTCTGGAGACACCAGATTCTACGGAGGAGGTGTGGCCACTGTGTCCCCAGCGTGATAGCCAAGCCACTGCAATCCGTTTGGAGACGCTGTGATAAAACACAGGCCAACGTTTCTTCCAGCTCAGGTCCTCGGATTTGCGTGAACGGGAGTGGGCTGTTCCCCGCAGAAGCCCCCTGCTGTCCAAAGGAGATGAGGGAAGCTCCCTGGTGGAGACTGGACTGAATTTGAGGGCTCAGACCCAGGCCAAAAGAACAGCTTCGGTCTGCTCCAGCTGGCTGTAGATGTGGGAAACTTTTTCTTCCTGGCGATCACACCTAGGGCCTTGTTCATGCTAGGCAAACACTCTGCCACTGAGCCACATTCCCACCCCTAGAGGGAATCTTTATGTAAAGCCTCACTTAGCTTAATGTTAACGATTTCTAAATCTGTTGTGAGGGTTACTTCCCCTGAATATAGAGCTATGGTTTTAGCCTTTGCAGTCTCCTGCAGACCAGTGCAGAGACCTACGTTCCCTCCAAGGGGCCTCCATCCCAGGTCCTCAAATGGGGAAAACGTGGAATAGATCTGAATCCTGGGAACCTTGGAAGTTGGGCCAATGCTCTTGTTAAAGGGCTGGGTGTTTCCAGCCAGCCTTGGGGCACAAAGCAAAAGCCCAGCCTGTGGGCACTAGAAGCAAGAAGGGAAAGGAGCTGGGCAAGCCAGATGGTGTCAGGATGTGAAACTCCTTTCGAGTGGACCATACAGTTGGGCTTATTCTCCAGAGCTCCTGGGCATAAGTCAGGTAGCCATGACTGAAGCCTGTGTCTCTGTGTCCCCTGACAAGTTGGCCCCAAAGTGTCTCTGTGAGCCTCATCTATTACTTGTCTCTCTCCCTCTCTTTGTTTGTTCTCTTTCTCCCTCCAGGCTCAGGGTCCACCATATTTGCCCATGAAATGCCTATCTACCTCGGCCATTGTTTACCTTCCTAGGCCCACTCTCAGATCCACCCAGCTCCCTGACCTTTTGCTCCCTCTGGCCTTGCCATCATGTCTTCCTTCCTCTCTGTGTCTCCCTCAGCTCATTTATTTTGGATCCAGCTCTTCTGCTTCACTCCAGTCAAAGGACCCTTGTGATGTCATGCACAGCCTAATTGCTAAACTTTGTGCTGGCGTGTTTGGAATATGGCCGCTTGAGCCATGTCCCTGCTATTTTGGCGAATTTCACCATTCATGAAACAACACCTTGTTCTCAACCATGAATGAGTAAATCCAGGAGCCCCTAAGTTTCAGGTCTTCATCTGTATATTTAAGCATCTGTATATATTAAGCATGTTCTTCACTGCTGCCGTTTCTTTCCAAGATTTCTAGCATCATCTTTCCCTTCTACTTCAACTCCTGTCACTCAAAGCCCTCATCTTGGCTTGGATGAGATCTAGAATGTCTTTTTGCACCCAGTCTATCTGTGAAACTGCTACTCTCTGTCTTCAAAATGGTTCTAAAGTGATCTCCTTCAGGGTGTCTTCCCTGACTTTTCCAGGCTGAGCTCAGTGCTTTGATCTATAAGCATCCTATGCTGAGTGCCTTTGGCATGTCCCCGTTAGAGCACTCAGTACATAACTGGAGGTGTCCATGAATACACCTGTCTATCCTCCTTGGAAGTATGGCTTAGGTTTACATCTTTGCATCCCTCTCCCCTGGTGCCAAGCCCTAGACCAAAAGGCTCTCAACAGCTTTTGATGTTTGGATGAGTAAATAAAAAATAATGTCTGTTCATGTTTTCTGCACTGCCCACTCTGTAAGAATGGGAACCATGTTCATCGTGTTGCAGTGCCTAGCCTTTCATCTGTATATGGGCAATAATGAACATGGTGGCAGAAACACTCAGGGGCTCAGCCCCAGGAAGTCTTCTCTGGTTTCTCCTGTGTTCTTCTAGTATAGACAGGCCCTTTCCACGTCCCCTCACGGCACTCCCTCATCTGTCTCACTACATCACAACATGATGACTACCTCACTGTGTTCCCTCACAAGGACAATATTTACCCATTTTGCATCTCACTCTGAGTGTTTGGTGCTTGGTACAGTGAGGCACTCATTCCAGCTTCACCAGCTGAATACTTGCATATATGTCTTTGATGAACAAGAGGTTTTGCTTGTGTAGGACACGGCCAGCCTCTGGCAGCTGTAGTGCTTGGAGGAAGAGAAGAAGGGAAAGGATGTGCTCACATAGCTGGCCATGCACCTCACCCAGCAAGGCCTAACAGCCCTAGGTTTTGAGTCACTGTGCTATGGCTTTGAGAAGGAAATAGGGAGAGAGTGGAGTGAGGTGCTGAGGGAGGGGCAAAAGCCCTCATTAATCATGGCAGCATTTCTTAGGCTCATTAATTCTAACAGGATGAGCTGCTTTTGAATAATCGGGTTGTTAAGCAGCCATGTCAAATTGCCGATCAGGTAAAAGACATTACTTCCGGTCCCTGGCAACAGTGCCAAGTGACAGCAACGGCTGCAATCCTTGCTTCCCTAGCAGCAGCCATGAGAAAAGGCAGGAAGAGCTGCCTCAAAGGATGATAAGACCTGGGCTCTCTACCTTGGCTCTGGAGATGGGACCACTGGGGCTCACTGAGGCCCTGAAGCCTCTGTACACAGACTTGAAGAAGGTGGGAGTGTGACTTGGCCTCGTCGTAGTGCCTGGCTAAAAGCACAAGGGCAGGGCAGGGCAGCCTCCCCTGCAGTGACTTTCCCTTGGGGCTGGATAACTCAAAAGACAGAATGGGGACTTGCTTGTGGTACTGTAAGTATTAGAAAACAGGGACATCAAAATTGTTAGGTAAGTTTATACTGGATGAAAAAAATTTGATCCAGGATATTAGGGGGGAAAATCCAGGGAGGGGAAAGCTATTATAACTTTGGCATTTATATGTTTTGTACTTTTTAAAAGTACATCTTTATGTGCATTTGAGAGGAGGGCTATAATCTCTTTAGTTTTTAAGACTTCTAAAAGGCCTTAACCTAGACCCTTCACTATCTTTTACTAATCAGATCTGGGTGTATTCAAGAACAAAAGAAGTGGAAATAGGTAGCAATGGATTCATGTTTGACTTAATGAAGACAGTCCTTGCAGTAAACCTTGTTAATAGCTAACTAAGATGGTGTAACATGGAAACTGAGACGGATATTATACCCCCTACCACCACCACTGGAAAACATTGTCGACATAAAAGAGATCCCTATAGAAGAGAAAGGTAAATTACTAAGTCAAGGTCATAGAGGCAGCTGGCGGCATGGGTAGAATGGAAATTCAGACATCAGCCTCTGAATTTTACACTACTGCCCCTGTCCCTGTTGTTCAACCTTGCCTGTGCCATGAGTCCCTTTTCTGTTTTCTCCCTGGATCCCACTGATTCTGGGCCCAGCAAAGTCACCTCAGGTGAGTTTCCATGACTGCCAGCTGCAGATCACCAGCTCCATTCACCAGTGTCCCCTCCCTGCGCCATCTTCCTTGGTTTGGCACCTCATCATCTTTGAACCGTCTGCAATGTGGGCTGCTGCTAGGCCCCCCACTGAACAGAGGATGTCGCAGACACATGAGAAAGGACAGGGCTCAGGGTGTGGGGCAGGATCAGCTCCTCTGGCCCAGCTTCCAAGGCTCCAGTCTCTGGGTTGGGAGGGTTACTATGATCTTGTCTTCATAGTTTAGCAAACTCCAAGGATCAAAGGGGCCCATGACAGACAAAGGGCTCCAAGCACTTCCTCAGTGTTCTGCTCAGGAAATGACCAATACAAGAAAAATAGGGTCTCTAATCCCTGTGGGGAGTGCTTGGGAGTGGGTTTTGGAAATAGGCACTTTGTCTGAGATCCTCTTCACTGCTTACTGGCTGGACAAACTGAGGCAGCTTCTTAACCTCTCTGTGGTTCCATGTTTTCTTCTGTCCAGCAAACCTAGCCCTTACCTTCTCAAAAGGTGGATTAAATGAGATCTAGCATGCAAAGTGCCTGGCATGAGTGCATCAGTGAGTCCTCCTGTTAAAAGCTCATAATTTGCACATTTCTGTAAAGACTTTAATTTCATAGTTTTCTTCTACTACAACTCTGTCTTCCATTTGTACTATCGCTCTAACACAGATCAGATAGGTAAAGGAGCAAGGAGCAAGTGCCTTAAGGGGCAGTGGAACCCAGAGAGAATTAAAAACTTTCTACAACAGTCTGCCTTTCCAGGATAAGGGATCAGAATTTAGTTCTTCCAGCTTCTAGCCCAAGCCTGTCCTCTGTGTTATCACAGGAAACTGAGAACATTTTGGGGGACTTATTTGGGGATACTGAGCTGGAGAGGAGCATGGGCCTCTTGGATTGAGGCTGTGATAGAGGCTACCGGGGACAACGTGATTCTGTGGCCTTCTCTTGTGACTGGTCTGGGCGGGAGGAGAGCACAGGCTGGATTCGCCTCCCAGCCAATGATGCAGCAAGCTGCAGGTGCCAAGTTTCCAGTTGCTTCTCCATTCACAGATTCCCTTGTTTATTTTGGGCTTGTTTCATTTTTTTGCCTCTTTCAATCTGAAACTCTTGTTTCTGGAATCCTTATGTTACCCAGTTGCCATGGCAGTGGCAGGTAAGCTAAAAAGTTCCCCTTCCACTCGTACAGGTTCCAGTCATCCTTGCCTCTGAATAGAAGGAAAGAAATACAGTTCAGTGTAGCAAAGTCAGCTCTATACCTGCTGAAGTTTGTAGCTCTGGGAAATCCGAGCAAAGGGGATAATAGAATGCCAACCTTGTGGTGCAGTGAGGGAAATATTCCTTTTAAGACTAATGCAGTGGTTAAGAGCTTGACTCAGTTCTTTACAATTCTGGGAATATCCAGGCTTTTGCAATCTGTGTGATCCCAGGCAAGTTGTTTCACCAAT